TGAAAATGATGTTGATGATGATGCTGATGATGGTGATGATGATGTTGATGATGTTGATGATGATGCTGGATAGTATGCTGATTGTGATGCTGATTCTGGTGATGATGCTTACGCCGACGATGCCGCTGATGATACGCTGATGACGACGATGATGATGATGATGATGCTGATGATGATGATGATGATGATGATGATGCTGATGATGATGATGATGATGATGATGATGATGATGCGGGCTATGGTGATAGCGACTATGCTGATGATGATGAGGGCTGATGGTGCTGCTGATGATGCTGATGATGATGAGGCTTACCACGGTGTTGAAGATGATGATAATGATGATGCTGGTGATGATGATGCTGATGATGTTGATGATGCTGGTGGCGTTGGTGATGCTGCTGATGACGAGGATGCTGTTGACGATGCAGTTGCTGACACTGATGATGCTGATGACGACGATGACGATGATGCTGCTGATGCTGCTGATGATGATGATGAGGATGGCGATGCTGACGATGCTGATCATGATTTGTTGTTGATGATGACGATGGTGATGACGTGTGCGATCAGGATAATGATGATGCGGATGGTGGTGACGATGCTGATGCTGATGGTGGTGATGATGACACCGATGAGTATGATTGCGATTGCGATGTCGATGATTATTCTGCTGATGATGACGACGCTGATGATTCTGAGTATGATAATGTTGATGATGGTGCAGATCATGGTGATGATGGTGGTGATGCTGATGATGTTGATGATGTTTATTTTTTCGATGCCGATGTTGAAGATACTGATGGAGCTGACGATGATGATGATGTTGATGATGATCATGATGATGATGTGGTGGTGATGATGATGCTGATGATGATGGTGGTGATGATGCCGACGACGATACTGACGATGCTACTAATGATGATGACGATGCTGATACTGCTGATGTCGATGGTGCTGATGAAGCTGATGATGACGATGACGACGATGTTGACGATGATGACGACGATGATCATGATGCTGACGATGATGTTAATGGTGATGCTGATGACGATGATGATGCTGATGCTGATGATGCTGATGATGATGATGATGATGGCGATTATGATGATGATGATGATGGTGATGATGATGGTGGTTGTGGTGATGATGGGGGATGGTGATGATTATGTTGTGACGAAGGTGCTGATTGTTGGTGATGATGGTACTGTTGCAGATGCTTATTATGATATGTTGAGGCTGCTGCTGCTGATGCTGATGATGATGATGATGATGATGATAGCCATGATGATAGTGATGCTGCTGAGGATGCTGATGATGATGCTGCCCATGATGATGCTGCTGATGATGACGACGATGATGCTGCTGCTGATGATGATGATGATGATGACGATGATGATGATTAGGATGATGATGATGGTGGTTGTGGTGATGATGGAGGATGATGATGGTTCTGTTGTGACGATGGTGCTGATTGCTGATGATGATGATACTGTTGCAGATGCTTATTATGATATGTTGATGCTGCTGCTGATGCTGGTACTGATGCTGCTGCTGCTGCTGATGATGATGATAGCCATGATGATAGCGATGCTGCTGATGATGCTGATGACGATGCTGCCCATGATGATGCTGTTGATGATGACGACGATGATGCTGATGATGATGATGCCGATGATGATGATTATGATGATGATACCGTTGATCATGATACTAATGCTTATGTTGATGATGATGCTCATGCTGATGCTGATGATGACGATGACCATGATGCTGATGATGATGCTGATGATGCTGCTGCTGATGATGATGATGATGATGATGCTGATGATGATGATGGTGATGATGATGATGATGATGCCGATGATGCTGCTGCTGCTGCTGCTGATGATGATGATGATGATGATGATGATGATGACGATGATGATGCTGATGACGCTGCTGCTGATGATGATGCTGAGTATGCTGTATCTGAGGAGGAGAAGGAAGAGGACGAGGAGGAGGATGATGAGGAGGAGGATGAGGATGATGAAAGGACGAGGGTTAGGAGGATGTTGATGATGAGGAGGAGGAGGCGGAGGAGGAGGAGGAGGACGAGGAGGAGGAGGAGGATGAGGATGGAGAGGAGGAAGTGGACGAGGAGGAGGAGGAGGAGGAGGAAATGGAGGAGGAGGAAGAAGAGGAGGAGGAGGAGAGGAGGAGGAGAGGAGGAATGGACGAGGAGGAGGAGGAAACGAAGGAGGAGGAAACGGAGGAGGAAGAAATGGTGCAGGAGGAAGTGGAGGAGGAGGAGGAGGAGGAGGAGGAGGAGGGCGAGGAGGAGGAGGACGAGGCGGAGGCGGAGGCGGACGCGGAGGCGGCGGATGGGGAGGAGGAGGAAGAGGGAGAGAGGAGGAGGAGGGAGGAGGAGGAGAAGACGGAGGAGGAGGAAGAGGAGGAGGAGGAGGAGGAGGAGGACCGACGCGTTTTCGCCCTGCTGCACCCGCCTTTCTCGCCGCCTGCGCAGTGCTCGGACGCCGAGCGAGGTTGTGCAGTGGCACCTGCAGCACAGTCAAGACACTGAAATGAACCACCACGTCGGGCTCAGGAGGGGCTCAGCACAAGGAGGATGATGAGGTCAAGGTGCAGGAGGAGGAGGAGGAGGAGGAGGAGGAGGAGGAGACGGAGGTGGCGGCGGAGGATGAATCTGAAGACAAGGATGAGGAGGACAAGGAGGAGGATAAGGATGAGGAGGAGGAGGCGGAGAAGAAGGAGCAATAGGAAAATGACGAGGTAAGGACCACGTCGGGCTCAGGAGGGGCTCCAGTTCCCTGGCCGCCCCTAGATCCAGGTCCAGGAGCCCCTTCGTGGCCGTCCAGTTCTTCTTGAGCGTTCCCCAGTGTAGCGCGATGTCTGTACGTCTAAGTCGGGCCTGTCCCTCTACAGGGGGAATATTCAAAAATAATCAAACAACAGTTTGGAGATATTTTTTGCCTGTTTGACTATTTGTTTGAATTATTCCTCCAAGATCCCCCTGTAGGAGGACACGCCCAACCTAACTGTACGTTTTTGGTGTTTCACGTTCCTCCGTAATGGTTCCCACGAAGACCTCGCGCGAGGTGCCTCCTGACTGCTCCTTCCTCGTGCGCTCCTGGCCTGCGCCAGCGACCCGTGCGCTGGCAGCGGGCCCCGGCGGACGCGGCGCAAACGCTGTGGCTCAGTTTTGCAGCCCCCGCCTTCCCCCCTCCTCCTCCTCCTCCTCCTCTTCTCCTCCTCCTCCTCCTCCTCCTCCCTCCTCCTCCCCTCCCTTTCATCTACCTCAGTGCATTCGAACGGTAACCTACTGATAGTTCCTGCTTCCTTTGCCCTGTCCAATCTTCTCCCTTTTCCCGCGGACGTTTTGATCGGCGGCGCGGAAGGGATCCCGTTCCGTGCCCGTGTAAGACGAGTATCAGACCCGTGCTCGCACCGTGCTAATCTACGTACATATGCATCGATTAACGTACATCCGTTTTCAGAGTGGTAGCGGAATTCCGACTGCCTTCCACTACCTTTCGCCGCCATGCCCCGCGCGGCACTTCCGCAGTCCTTTGCTCTTCAGCTCCTTTTTCCCCATCATTCAGTTTGCGTGTTCGGCAAGAGTTCTTTTCTTGCTCTCCGTATTCATGCACCTCGTGCTCGCTAGGACGAACGATGAGGCGGACATCTACCATGCCAAAACAAATACGTCATCGAACATCTCAAGGGGCGCGGCGCCACCCCGCCGCCGCCTGTTTGTTCGTTTCCAGGGCGTGCTTCAACTGTGTCGGAACCACAGCTCGGATCTTCGGTTGGAAGAATGGAGTGCCCATCCTTCCCATCGACAGCCCCAGCCAGTGGCCCCGAGCTTCGCGAAACTACGTTGTGGGGGCCTTGGGAAACGCAGGCGGATGAGTTCGGATGAGAGTGGGGGCCCAGTGGGGTGTTGGACAATTTTGTTGTTATATCGTCGAGGGCAGTGAAGCGGGTCTGGGACTACCTGTTTACATACATTTCGTACACGACATATCGCCATACCCTCCGATTCCCTCCAGACTGGCAGGATGACATATCATCCCTCTCTTCCTCCTCCTCCTCCTCCTCCTCCTGTTCTTCCTCCTGCTCCGCCTCGTCCCTCCCCCACCCCTCCTCTTTCCCTCCCCTTCCCTTTTTTATCCCCCTTCCCCCCCGTCCCCCCCCCGCTTCCCCTCCCCACCGTCTGTCCCGTGCCGCCGTGCACCCTCTTCTGCTCCTCCCCTCCCGCGGGCCCCGTCTTCTTTCCCGAGGAGGAGGAGGAGAAGGAGGAGGAGGAGGAGGAGGAGGAGGAGGAGAAGGAGGAGGAGGAGGAGGAGGAGGAGGTGGAGGGATGAGGATGGACCAGGGACGAGGAAGGAGGAGGGATAGTGGAGGGAGGACGAGGATTCCTCCCCACCGACTTCCCCCCCCCGTCCGAGCCACTTGCCTGGAGCCATGGCCAGCCTCGCCGAGCCCGCCCAGCAGGTCGAGGCTGAAGGGGAGGGGCAGAAGGTGAGAGGCGGGAGGGAGGGAGAAGCACTCGTGCTTCTACGAAGGCGCGGGCCTTGTCCATGCATGTAAAGCCGGCGCCTTTTTAGGAGCAGCCTCCTGCTAAGAAGCCTTTGCCCCCTTCTCCCTGCCCCCTCGTGCGCAGTGCCAAGGGGGAGTTCGCAGCATGGCATCAGCACACCACCGTGCCTGGCCAGGGTCATCTTCGGCCCCAGGGCTCGAAGAAGCAAGAACGGCACAGGCACAGACTTTCGGAGTTCCGCGCAGCTTTCTCGGGATCGGCTGGGGGCCTCTCCGGGCGGCGGCGCCTCCGGCGCCGACCAAGGACATCCGCGCCGACCTGCGATAGTTTATGCTCATGCCGCTCATTATTCATATATGTATGTGCCTCCTGCCTAGAGAAGGGGCTGGAGCTTGTTTGCTACCCGCGGCATCATGCGTTTTTTTTGCAAGTTGGAGCTCGAGCTCGTCATCGGCCACGCCGATCGCGAACCCAACAAGGCTCACGAAACGTGAGGACTGTAGGGAAGCAGAAGAGGTTGACCTCGGGCTGTTTGTGTGGGTGTTTTCTTCCATGTGTGCCATCAAAAAACACGGCAACCGTACCGCATTCCTGCGATTTATTACTGGCAATATCGAGCGACTATGCTGACCTCACATGTTTGTGCGTACTCGATGCTCTGTTCGAGAGTCGGGTGGGCAAATCTTGCCCCCATAGTTCTTGTGGAACAGGTGTAGAGCATATTGCAAGGGCTAGAACTCCAGGCCTCCCAAATAGGGTCCCAGGAGATGGGGTCGGAGGATCGCGCCGCATCGCCGCTGCGTCGGCGATGTATCGGCGATACGGACCGATCCTCCGACCCACTCTGCTCGGACCCCGTTTGGGTAGTCCCCACGGACGGACGGACGGCCCGTAGAAGGCGTGGGAGGTCTGGACACGGCGGCAAACGTGTAAGCCCCCTTTCTTCCAGGACCCGTTTCATTCGTGCTCAGGGTGGGATGGTGATGGGTCGGCAGCGAGCGAGGGGGGGAAGTGAGAAGGCGAAGGCCTTCTCAGAAGGCTCGGAAGTCCCCTGGCCTTCTGAGAAGTTTTCTGAGCCTTCCCTGAAGACACGGACGGGAAACTTTTCAGAAGGCGCGAGGGTTTCTGAGAAGCCCCGACGCCTTCAGAGAAGGCCTTCTCCTTCTCGCTTCCCCCCCTCGCTCGCCGCCGAATGCGGGGGAGAACCGGGCGGGGCCACGTCCGAGACAGCTCGTTCCAGACCGTTCTAGAACGCTTGCACAACGTCCCAGAGCGCTCCAGAACGGCCGCGGCGCCCGAGATGTCCTCCAGAGCCGCTAGGTCGGGGGCTGCTAAAGGTGCCCCTGGCCCAAGGTGCCCCCAGCTTCTCGCTCCATTTTGGATCCCCTGGGGCCCTCGGGGCCTCGTGAGGGGTGCTCTGGAGGCCGCGGGGGCCTCCTTGGAAATCCTGGAGACAGCTTGGGCCAGGGGCACTTCTAGCAGCACCCGGCCAGATCTCGGAGAACTTCAATGTAATGCGGTCCGATGTTGCCCTGGTCCTGGCGTCGTCGTGGGGAGGGGGGAGCGGGAGAGGGGAGCGGGCGAGGGGAGCATGCGTTGGGCCCAGATGTCCGATGCCGTGCTTTTTTCCACTGCGGTGAATATATGGCTCCTTCCCTGCCTGCTCTCGCCGCCGCCGCCGCCTTGTTGCCGCCGTGCTGTTGGGTATTGATCGTGCCGCTGCTGAGTGTGGCTCAAGTTCACCGCCCACCAAACCACCCCAACCCAACCCGAAGACCCCGATTTGCCCTCCATTTCCAGAGGGGCGGGGGTCGGGGAACATGTGACAAAAACACATATGAAGCCCGTACCTCCCCCAACCCGAGATTCGGGTGAAATTCGGGTCTTCGGGTTGGGCTGCGGGTGGTCTGGTAGGTATTGACAAGTGGGAGAGAAAGCTCGCGCGCCTCCCTCTAGCGCGCGCGAGTCTACATACTTACCTATTTCTCTTTGCCTAGCGAATGTACAGATTGAGCCATGTCGTCAACGAACGTTCCCGCCACCTGGGAATTCAGACCAAGGAACCAAAGTGAGAAAAGACAACATACAATTATAGGTGACATATTTTTTCGGTCCTCTGGCAAACAACTGGGCATCAGCCGAAAGCTCTGGATCTGTTCATGATCACGAATTGGTCAATCAGCCGCAAAGCGATATTCAATCCATGGTGCCTATCGAAGTGCCTTTTGATTCAAATGCCGAATCATGATCCCCATAGCTAAGGGGGAAAAGCGATGTGAGAGAACGGATGTGGATGGAGAGCTATCCGCACATAGACTCAGCTCTTTTTTATACACCGATTCACGTAATGTTGCAAGCGAGGCTGCCGGTTCAATTGGTCGCTTAGTTGAACATCGTGGTATGAAGCTCGGAGAGAGTGCCGGAATGCCCGGGGGTGGTTCAACCACCGTTTAGGTATTCCGTACACGCTGATCTGAGAGACAGCGTTTATAGGAATCTCTCAGTCGCCAGTCGATGACACGAGCCCTCGGGAGCCAGCCCGCAGCAGAGTACCTAGGATATTCGACTGGAGACACGCTATTCCCGAAGAGACCGAAAAGGCGGTCCGAAGACAATACGGATATATATATATATATATATACACATATATATATATGTATATATATACACACAAGATTGTAGTGGCGCTTCGCGCCATGCACCTTGGCCCTTGAAGTGCGGCATGGAGGCGGAAGAGCAGGAAGGTCAAGCCGACAATCTAGCAATAACTCCTTGTTGCCTTTTCCGGCATCGTCGCTATAGTAATGTTATTCGCTATCCTTCCTCCATGCTTCTTTTTTCTCATTTTCGCCATACCCTGCGCATTCTCCCCATCCTCCTCGGCTTTTTTTTGCGGAGGATTCTCCTTGGAGAGCCTCTGGGGGCCTCACAAAAGTTGTTTCAGGCTCTCTTAAGACCTTCTGGAGGCCTTCTGGGCGTATTCTGGGGGCCTCTGGGGGATTCCTCGGGCCATCCTGCCTCCAACCGCGGTCTCCCTGAACGACCGGGTCACGATTTGGAATGGTTCGGAGGAGGAGGAGGAGGAGGCTGGAAATGAGGATTATGATGAGGATCAGGCGGTGGATGTGGATGTTAATGTGGATCAAGATGGTGATGAGGATTCTGATGCCGATTATGATGACCATGATGTCGATGATGAGGATGACGACGGCGACGATGATGATGATGACGATGATGACGAGGCTGGTCATGATGATGATGATGCTGTGGATGAGGCTGAGGACGCTGATGTTGAGGATGATGATGATAATGATGCTGATGATGGTGATGAGGACGAAGAGGACGAATATGATGATGATATTGATGATGCTGATGATGATGATCATAATGATGATGATGATGATGATGATGATGATGATGATGATGATGATGATGATGATGATGATGATGATGATTTGGATGATGATGATGATGATGCTGGTGCTGATGATGACGATGCTGATGATGATGCTGATGACGATAATGATGATGATGGTGGTGATGATACTGATGCTGACGATCATGATGATGACGTTGCTGCTGCCGCTGATGCTGATGAGGGTGACGACGATGACGATGATGATGATGATGATGATGATGATGCTGATGATGCTGCTGCTGCTGATGATGATTTTTTATGATGAGGATGGTGCTGATGATGCTGAAGATAATGATGATCATGATGATGCTGATGATGATGACGCTGATGATGATGTTGCTGATGCTGTTGCCGATTATGATGCTGATGGTGATGATGATGCTGATGATGATGCTGCAGCTTCTTCTGCTTATGATGATGATGTTGATGATGGTACACATTAGGCCGACGATCATGATGATGACGCTGCTGCTGCCGCTGATGCTGATGAGGGTGAGGATGATGATGATGATGCTGATGATAATGATGCTGATGATGATGATGATGATGATGATGATGATGATGATGATGATGATGCGGCTGATGATGATGACGATGATGCTGATGATGATAATGCTGCTGATGATGATGTTGTTGCTGATGATGATGGTGATGCTGATGATGATGATGATGATGATGATGACGGTGCTGGTGCTGATGATGGTGATGATGATGATTCTGATGATGCTGATGATGCTGATAATGGTGATAATGAACATGATGATGAGGCCGATGAGGATACGGTTGATGATGATGACGGTGATGATGCTGCTGATGATGATGCTAATGATGAAGATGCTGCTGATGATGATGATCGTGACGATGCTGATTCTACTGATGATGATGATGATGATGATGATGGTGATGATGATGATGCTCATGCTGGTGCTGTTGCTGATGCTGATGCTTTTTGATCATGATGATGACCATTATGGTGATGCTGATGGTGCTAATGATGCTTAAGATGATGACGCTGATGATGAAGTTGATGATGATGATGCTGATGATGATGATGATGCTGATGATGATGATGATGATGATACTGATGATGCTGATGATGCTGATGATGATGATGCTGATGATGATGATGCTGATGATGATGATGATGATGATGATGATGATGATGATGATGATGCTGGCTGTGTGATATAGTGTATTTCAGTGATGATACGGATGAGGATGGGGATGGGGATTCGGATGAGGATGTGTGGGGGGGGAAAGAAAAAGGAGCCCCCCCGTCGAGCAGGAGGAGGAGGAGGAGGAGTAGGAGGAGGAGGAGGAGGAGGAGGAAGAGGAAGATGAAGAGGAGGAGGAGGAGGAGTTTGGGGGACTTGGGGAGGCTGGGTAGGAGGAGGAGGTGGAGGAGGAGGAGGCGGAGGCTCAGGAAGAGGGTGAGAACGGGGATGAGGATGTGGATTGGGATGACGATGAGAATGATGATGAGGACGATAATGATGCTGTAGGTGATGATGATGATGATGATGATGATGATGATGATGATGATGATGATGATGATGATGATGATGATGATGATGATAATGATGCTTATCGTGCTGATGATGTTGCTGATGAGGATGCTGCTGCTGATGCTGCTGCTGATGATGATGATCATTATGATCATTATGCTCAGGAAAGTTCCGCTTCGGTTCGGTTCGGTTAGGTTCCGAAGCGCCTCCGGTTCGGTTCGGTTCGGTTCGGTGTCGTAATATTCCGGTTCGGTTCGGTTCGGTTCGGTTCGGTACGTTTATTTTTTGTTTCCGGTTCGGACCCGTTCCTGTTCTGGTTCGGTCCGGTTCCGGCCAGATCGCCGTCGAGGAGCGGTTCCGACCCCAGGCGATCCGATTTCGTTGCGCTATTTTCGATGCCGATGGTTCGGAGGAGGAGGAGGAGGAAGAGGAGGAGGAGGAGGAGAAGGAGGAGGAGGAGGAGCCGGGGCGACGCAGCGTGCTGGCGCGCCCCAGCGCCCCAGCACGCCCGGCGCGCCCGGCGAGGTTCCTTGCTGCCGGCGTCGTCGTCGTGGTCGTCGTCGTCGTCGGTCGTCGGGCTTGGCGTCGGTGGTCGGGCGCCGAGAAATGCCGCGGCCGTGGCACTCTCCGTGGACCTTGGGGTCCGTGGACCTCTCCGTGGACCTCTCGTCCTTTTTTCTTTGGGCCCGAAGACGGCTGCCGCTGGCTGCCGCTGCTGCTGGCCGCCGCTGGCCTCTGCCGCTCGGGGGGCCCCAAAGGGGCCCCAAATCTAATATTTTTTTTAGGGTCCGTGGACATCTCCGTGGCCGCTGGCCGCCCCTGGCTGCCGCTGGCTGCCGCTGGCTGCCGTTGGCTGCCGCTGGCTGCCGCTGGCCTCCGCCGCTCGGGGCCCCAAAGGGGCCCCAAAGGGGCCCCAAACTCGGATAGGGGCCTCAAAGGATTCCCAAAGGGGCCCCAAACCCCCAGAGGAGCCCCAAACGGGCCCCAAAGGGGTCCCAAAGGGGCCCCAAACCCGCATAGGGGCCCAAAGGGCCCCCAAAGGGGCCCCAAAGGGGCCCCAAAACCCCAAAGGGGCCACAAACCCGCATAGGGGCCCCAAAGGGGCCCCAAACCCCAAAGGAAAAGGGGGTTTGTCGGGGTGCCGGAACCGGTTTTTCATCCTGGGTCGGTTTTTGACGTTCCCGGAGGCCGAAATAGCGAAAAACCTCCGGTTGTGATTTTTTCACAGCGCCTGGATCTGGGGGTTGTTGTCATCGTCGTCGTCGCCGCCGGTCATCCTCCCTCCTCCTCCATCCGTGGCCAGTTTTCCGGTTCGCTCCGGTTCGGTCCGGTTCGGGCCGGTTCGGCGGGGGGAGGTTCGGCCCGGTTCGGAGTCCCAGTTCGGTTCGGTTCGGTTCGGTTGGGTGTCGTAATTTTCCGGTTCGGTTCGGTTCGGTTCCCATTGACAAAAAACACCGGTTCGCGCCGGTTCGGTTCGGCCCGGTTCGGTTCGGCCGGTTCGGTTCGGTTCCGGAACCATCCTGTATGCTAATTCGGATGATGATGATGCTGGTGATTATGATGATTCTGATGATGCTGCTGAGGATGATGCCGATGCTGCCGATTATGATGACGATGACGATGACGACGGTGACGCTGATGATGATGCTGATGATGATGCCGATGATGATTATCATGCTGATGATGCTGCTGATGATGCTGATTCTGATGATGATGATGGTAATGATGATGCCGACCATGATGATGATGATGATGATGATGATGATGATGATGATGATGATGATGATGATGATGATGATGATGATCATGTTGCTTGTGATGATGCCGATTATGATCATGATGATAATGCGGATGATGCTGATGAAGATGATGATGCGGATGCTGATACTGTTTTCGATGCTGCTGCGGCGGCTGATGATGATTATGATGACGATGCTGATGCGGATCGGGTGATGAGGATGACGAGATTGATGATGGAGATGAGCATTTTGATGAGGATGATGCGCATCATGAGGACGATGATGAGGACGATGATGATGCTGATGAACATGATGATGAGTATGATGAGTATGATAAGGATGAGGATGACGATGATGAAGATGGAGCTTAAGATGCTGATGAAGATGATGATGATGATGATGATGATGATGCTGATGATGATGATGATGATGATGATGATGATGATGGTGACGATGATGCTGATGATGATGATCATGATGATGATGATGATGATGCGGATGGCAATGATAATGATCACGATGATGATGGCGATGATGATGATGATGCTGCTGCTGATCATGATGATGATGCCGATGATGATTCCGATGACGATGACGATGTTGACGATGGTGATAGTCATGGTGATCGTGAACCTGGTGTTGCTGAGCATGATGAGGATCTTGATGCAGCTGCTGCTGCCGATGCTGATACTGATGATACTCATGATGATGCTGCTGCTGATGCTGATGATGCTGATGATGGTGACGTTGAGGATGATGATGCTGCTCATGATGCTGATGATGATGATGACGATGATGATGCTGATGCTGCTGACGATGGTTCCGATGCTTAGGAGGAGAAGGAGGAGGAGACGCGGATTGGGATGCTGTTGCTGTTGCTGATTCTGATGATGATGATGATGATGATGATGATGATGATGATGATGATGATGATGATGATGATGATGATGCGGAAGAGGAGACTATTGAGGATGCTGACGAGTATAATGAGCATGATGAGTATGATGAGGCTGCCGGTGCTTATGATGATGCTGCAGCTGATGGTGATGACGATGAGTATGATGATGGTGATGATGCTGCTGCTGATGATGATGATGCTACTGCCGATGATGGTGATGCTGATGATGCTGATGATGCTGATGCTGATGATGTTGATGCTGATGAGGCTGTTGATGATGATAATGATGATGTTAGTAATGATGATGATGCCGATTATGATGATGATGATGATGATGATGATGATGATCTTGGTACTGCTGTTGACGATGTTGATGTTCATAATAACCATGATGATGTTGATGATGATGGTGACGATGAGGATGAGGGTGATGATGATTATGCTGACGCTGATGCTGATAATAATGATGATGATGCTGATGCTATTGATGACGATACTGATGACGATGATGACGACGATTATGATTATGATGATGCTGATGTTGCTGATGATGATGATGATGATGATGATGATGCTGATGATGATGATGATGATGCTGATGATTCTGCTGATGATGATGATGCTGATGATGAGGATGATGATAAGGTGGAGGAGGAGGAGGATGAGGAGGAGGATGAGGAAGAGGAGGAGGAGTATCTGGGGAGCATGCGCTGCCAGGTTGCTGCTGGTGCAGTCATGATCGACCAGGCGATGTGCTCCAGCCACGGCGTCGAGGCTGGGGATGCCCAGCAGATCCGCGGGGGGCTGTGCAGGAGACAAAGAGGTGGACCCCCCTCGTGTTCGACCCCGTGTTCGGCCCTCCCCCCCCCACACTCACCCGTGTTCGACCCCGTGTTCGACCCCTCGTGTTCGACCCCTCGTGTTCGACCCCGTGTTCGACCCCGTGTTTGGTCCTCGGAGTCAACGTTGGCTTTGCAATCGCGAGGGCACTGCGGTTTCCACTCTATTATCCTCTCGCGCCTTTTGTTGCCAGATGCCCAAGGTCAATCTTGAATATGTGATGTGATTGGGGGTGGCCAGAATCAGGGGTTGCACCTAAGTGTCCTTCTACGGGAAGAGGCGCTCACGGGAGCAGCGCAGTCGCGACCCTAGGAGGAGGAGAAGGAGGAGGAGAAGGAAAAGGAAAACGCGGAGCAGGGAGGTCAGGATGAGCAGGCAGAGGTAGGATGAGCAGGCGGAGGCGGAGGCGGCGGTGGCGGAGGAGGAGGACCAGTGTAAACCCTTAGACTCATCAACGATATTGAAATAAACCTTCCGTCCAAGTTCCCCCATCATGGGTCCTTACAGAAATTCGTTTCACAAGGAAGTGCCCCTCTGGAATTCCAACGCCGCAAATCACCAATATTGTTGCGTCGTGACGATGCTGAATCGTGCCTGTGCCAGAACACCGTTTCTGGGATTTCCACCTGACGAATCACTGTAACTGTTGCGCCCTGACAGTCCGACATCGTGTGCCAAAACGCCGTTTCTGGGACGTTTGCTTTGGACATCCTTGTAATTGTTGGAAACTCTTGAATCGAATGTGCGCGGCGCTAAGGCGAGAGCCGCATTTGGAAACGACACGCTTTCCATCCGTGATGACTCTTGCATCTCGTTGAGACGAATGTGTGCGGCGCTAAGGCGAGAGCCACATTTTGAAAACGACCCGCCCTCCATCAGTGAAAACTGTTTCATTTTGTTGAGACGAATGCGCGCGGCGCTAAGGTGAGTGCCACATTTTTGAAAAGGACCTGCCCTCCACGCGTGAAGCTCTTGACATGTTGACGACGAATGCGCGCGGCGCCAAGGCGATAGCCGCATGTTGAAGACGGCCCGCCCTCCATCCGTGAAACTTTTCGCACTAATGTTTGCCGAGTGTGCGCGAAGCTAAGGCGAGAGCTGCATTTTGAAAACGGCCCGCCCCCCTTCAGCGAAACTTTGTGCAAATTTTTAGCTTCAGGATCATACGTGGTGTGGAAGTCACAGGCGACACGCCCTCCCCGCCCTGCCGACACGCCTCGGGGTGCGACAGGGAGGAGTGATTTATGAGGAAAAAGGGTTGCCTCCCCTGCGAGTCTCGCACCCCGACCGCCGTCCTTGGGGGAGGGGGAGGGGGCGGGGGGCGAGGGCGGGGCCGCCCCCCGGCCGCCGCCGGCCGCGAGGGCCTGCCCGCCCGCTCCGCGGAGTGGGACGACTCCCTCTTCGAGCTGACCTGTGCGGTGCAGTCTCAGGAGGGGGCCGATGGGGAAGGAGAAGGAGGAGGATGAGGATGAAAAGGAGGATGATGAGGAGGAGGACCAGTGAGAAACCCAGTGAATAAACCCTCCCTCCAAGCTTCCTCTTCAAAGGCCCATACAACGGCTCATTTCCACAGAGTGAGTGCCTCGTTGGAAGACCAAGTGTTTGAAGACCCTGAAGCATGCCAACAAAATGGTTCCCGGGATTCGAGCACCACGGATCAACCTGACCGTTGCGTTTCAACGATCCCGAATCGTGCCAGAAGCCGTTCCTGGGCTTTCAACACCGCGAACCAACGTAATTGTTGCGCCCTCATAATCCTGAGTCCTTCCAACACATCATTTCTTGCACGTTGATGGTGGGAATCCGTGAAGCTCTTGCAAACGTTAAAAACGAATGTGCGCGGCGCTAAGTTTGAAAAGGAACCGCCCTCACTCCGTCAACTCTTGCATTTTTCAAGGGAATGTGTGCGGCGCTAAGGCGAGACCCACATTTTGAAAAAGAGCCGCCCTCAATCCGTAAAACTCTTGCACATTTTAAAGACGAATGTGTGCGGCGCTCAGGCGAGAGCCACATTTTGAAAACGACCCGCTCTCAATCAGTGAAGCGCTTGCATTTTTCGAACACGAATGTGCGCGGCGCTCAGGCGAGAGCCACATTTTGAAGTCCACTCGTCCTCAAGCCGAGAAGCTCCTGCAAATGTTTAAGACGAGTGTGCGCGGCGCTCAGGCGAGAGCCACATTTTGACAACCATCCGCACTCCATTCGTGAAACTGTTACCCATTTTGATGCTTCATATTCACATGTGGTGAGGAAGTCCAGGGGCCTCGGGGTGCGACAGGGGGAAGTTGTCTACAAGGAAAAGGAATGGAGGAGGAAAAGGAGGAGAAGAAGGAGGCAGGAGGAGGAAGAGGAATAGGAGGAGGAGGAGGAGGAGGAGGAGGAGGAGGAGGAGGTGGAAGAGGAGCGGAGGAGGAGGAGGAGGAGGAGGGAGGAGGGGGAGGAGGAGGAGGAGGAGGAGCAGGAGCAGGAGGAGGAGGAGGAAGATGCGGCATACTATTATTCGTGTGACTTATTACTACGAAGGGTAAGAACAATCGTACTACTAGGAATAAAGTGAGAAGACGAAACGCAGTAAGCGCAATCTCATTGTCACAATAACGCGACTACTAACATGAGACTGTTAACAGACCGACTGCGACGACTACCCATAATCAGAAACCACATACTAATATGAATGGCAGACAGGTAATACTACTCGCATTGATACTACCAACCAGACTAAGACAAGAAGAGGAGGATAAGGAGGAGGAGGAGGGGGGGAGAAGGAGGAGGAGGAATACCAGTGCAACCCAAGAGGCATCAACAATGTTGTAATACACCCTCCATCCGAGCTCCCTTTTTGCAGGCCCCTACAACGGTTCATTTCCACTGGGGGAAGTGTCTCGTTGGAAGACAACTGTTTGACGACCCTGAAGTATGCCAAATCATTGTTTTCTGGGTTCCCTCGCCACGGGTCAACCTGATTTTAGCGCCTCGACGATCCTGAATCGTGCCAGAACGCCATGCCAGGGACTTGAACACCGCGAACCAACATACTTTGTGCACCCTCATAGGCCTGAATCCTTCGAAACACCGCTTCTGGTACGTTGATTTCGTGCATCCGACAAACTCTTGCAAACTTTTAGGACGAGTGTGCGCGGCGCTCAGGCGAGAGCCACATTTTGGAAAAGAGCTGCCGCCAATCCGTCAAACTCTGGCAAGTTTTAAGACGAATGTGCGCGGCGCTCAGGCGATAGCCACATTTTGAAAACCACTCGCCCTCAATCCGTGAAGTTCTTGCAATTTTTAGCAGCGGTTGTGCGCGGCGCTAAGGCGAGAGCCACATGTTGAAAACCACTCGCCCTCAATCCGAGAAGCTGTTGCACAATTGTTAGCCGAGTGTGCGCGGCGCTAAGGCGAGACCCACATTTTGAAAAGAGCCGCCCACAATCCGTCAAACTCCTGCACATGTTTAAGACGAGTGTGCGCGGCGCTCAGGCGAGAGCCACAGTTTGGAAACCACTCACCCTCAATCCATGAAGCCCTTTTGCATTTTTTATGTCGAGGGCGCGCGGCGTTTAGGCGAGAGCCACATTTTGAAATCCACTCGTTCTCAATCCGAGAAGCTCCTGCAAATGTTTAAGACGAATGTGCGCGGCGCTAAGACCAGAGCCACATTTTGAAAACCATCCGCACTCCATCTGTGAAACTGTTCCCCGTTTTTATGCTGCAGATTCACAAGTGGTGAGGAAGTCTAGGGCGAACCGCCTGGGCCGCCCTTAAAAACTGGCCTCGGGGTGCGACTGGACAGTGTTAAGTTTCAGGAAAAGGAATGCAGGAGGAGGAGGGACGGAGGGAGGGAGGGAGGGAAGGAGGGAGGGGACCTCTCCCTCTCCACGTCGCCCAGTGCTACGACCCTACCCCTTTTGTTTTAAATGAGGCTCGTGAAGGGCTCCAGAAGCTCACCAACGCCCCGAGGTTCGCGTTTGCGCCCGTCTCCCTGCGCCACCTCAAAAAGCTCGGCCTCGAGTGCGAGGCGCACGATTTGAATATCATGGCTCCGGCGGCGATGTTGAGAGCCGCCATTCGCTCCGAGGCTTTCGACCGCATGTGCCAGTGGCTGTCAGAAATACAGGAAGACGATGACCATTGTGTTTCACCATCTCGCCCGATTTCCTGGAGATAAGTCCATCATTGCCTGTACGAGACGTGTCTACGATAAATACCATACGTCCCCTGAATTCCCGCGAGATGTGAGGCCGAAGCTTTTGCATAATAGGATTGTGCAGTTTTTGAAAAAGAAACATTTCCCCGCCCATGATGCCCGTGATTTGATCCTGCCCCGTCCGAATTACTGGCTCCCAGGAGCCGCTGGTCCCGAAGTGGGCCTCACGTTCATGCGTCTTCACATGATTTGCAAGGGGTGCCCACCCAGCATCACCAGTGCCGTCATTCGCACCCTTTTTAATGCCTGGCCCACCTATCGTCGTTTCCGAGGTGACACCCAGGTGTGCCGCCTCGGGTGCAGTAGCATGGGGGGGGGGGCTACATAGAACACTATTTCCGATGCCCCCCCATGTC